ATGAGGGCGTGAGGCGACTTGATGTGGATGGCTCCGGGTCGCTCCAGCCACTGTCCTGAAGCCGTCGGAGGCTGAGGCCGTGTGGGAGTGAGCGTCTCTTCCCTGTCCGGCCACACCCTCTGTGGCCCTGGGCCGCATTTATGTTTGAGGTCTGTGGATGGCTCCAGTTGTTCAGTCAATTTGGTGATTCTCATCGGGGTGACTGTGCCCCAGGGGATGTTTGCACCATCCAGGGAGGTTTCTGGTTAGAACTGGGAGAAGGGATGCTCCCGGCACCTGGGGCTGGAGACAAGGGATGCTGAGGAAAGTCCCTCCAAGCACAGGGCGGGCTCCATAGTAGGAGTCTGGCTCAGGACATGGCCGTGTTGTGCTTCAGAAGCCCTGGGCGGATCTGATGTGATGAAGTCGTCATCTTCTCTGGACACGTGCGTCCTCATCCTCACTCATGATTTGCTTCTTGCCAGCATTGATGCTTAGCTGACACCACAGCACCTCCGAATCTATGCTGTGCTGGTGAGTGAGTCTTCCGGGCAGAACAGAATGAATGAAATACCTCAGAGCGGGTGTTACACGTTCTCAGGATATGGCTGCAGGGAGTTTCAGTTGGACTCCTTTCATTCCCTAGCGCTGGCTGGTGTATTACTCTGTCCTGTAAGCTTGATCAGGTCACATCAGAAACACAGTAGGTGGGTGCCGCGCTGCTGTCAGGTGTCGCGAAGGTGGCGGTGAACACAGCCTTGTGAGTATCCTTGTCATAGTGGCCCCACCACGGACCTAGGGGCCCGGCTGTGTTTGGTCTTGAGAGTTTTATGCTTTTCTGGGCAGAGTCTCCCCCTCTCTTGAAGCTTCCCTCTCCTTTTTTGGAGACTGAAGGAAGGAAAGGAGGAGCGATAGGGAAGAGGGGAGAGAGGATTTGCAGCAATGTGGCCATTCCCACAGATTTCAATGTGGGGTTAAGGAGCCGAGACCCCCCCACCTGCCCTCTTGTGTGCCTCAGGCCCCTCCTGGCCCTGGGTCACCCACACCCTCTGGCTTCCAGCAAGGGCTTCTTGGAGAAGCAGCCAGCTCCCCGCGGCCAGTCTTGGTCCAGCCAGTCTTGGTCCGTCCTGAGCTGGGGTATTCCACAGTAAAGGAGTGACATCACCTGTCTGATAAAGCATAGGGAGCCCCCCATGTGGTGGTGCTGACGGGGCCACATCCTGGGCACCAGGCCAGCGAGTGTCCCCAGATGAGTGTTTCTGGCTGGGAAGCAGGCTGGCATTTGGGTTGAAGTCCTGCAAACACTGCCATGGCCAGCCAGAGCCTGCAAGGCAGAGCCTGTACAGAGCAGCCCAAGAGCTGGGCATGTGCCGGGCCTGGGTGGACGTGGAGGCCGTGCCATGGGGCGCGGGGGCGCCTCTCACCGCTCACCTCGTGGTCACCCAGCACTGACCCACCCACCT